TAAAAAAAAATAAACTTTATCAAATTAGTCAGGGATAAATTCGAACAATTTTCAATCAATTAAGAATTTTAATCATGTGAAAATTGTTCAAACATCTTATCCATCCAAATAATTTTAATAAATTTTTGTTTAAATAAATAAGTTATTAAAAGAACAATGAACTTAACTCTTAGAGATCCAATAATCATCCATGCAAAACTTGCTCTGATACCACTTGTTGGAAAAATTAAATAAACCCTAATTCATGGTTATTCTAAAACAAAAGCCATAAAATTACAGAACAATCAAGGCCAAGGATCTAAGCATGGAAGAAAACCAAAATCTATAAAGAGATTAGAATTACCTGAAACCATTAGATAGATTGACCACGATCTACGAGAAGTTGTGATTTGTAGTCTTCCTCAACTATGCAACCCAGACCAAATATGGGCAATACTCTCTGTTTGATGGGGAACAGGAGACTCAAGAAGCATAGTGTATTGGGGACCATAACGATATATTTATAGGTTAATCCTAGGGTTTCCCATAATCCCCTAGGATTAATGGGCTGGTTTCTACTCAGCAAGTCACACCACTAAATGGGAAGTCATGGACCCATAATTAAGATCACTTGTATGCCCATTAAATAGCTCAAATATAATTACTCTTTAATTTGTTACCCACATATGAATTAATTATTAAATTAATTCCAACATATATAAGATAAAAATATTCTACTACATTCGGTGGCAAATGTTCGTTTTATTTTGTTCGTTACGTGAATTTTGAAAGAAATGTGTTACTTCTATATCAAAGCAATAGAGTAGTCCATGCCAAACATCTATATGGATAGAACAGTAATAATTACGGGAGACCGACGAAGTCATTGCTATAAAGTGCCAATCAACTAAGTTTATCCCTTCCTTTTCTTCTTCCTTTTCTATGTAGTTTAATTCAAAGTTTATTTAATTTCATCGCCCTAATTTATTATTTTATGTTGCAATAAAATTTAGTTTAAAGATTTTTGTTATTAGTAAACATTCATGTATCGTGGTGAATGATTCAAGTAGTCCTACCTAGGTGAAACTAGAAGTAGTTACGTATATTTTGTGATTAGTGCAAACAAAGTTCTACATTGGTGATAAGATGAAAAATATAGCCATATTTTATATATTTATTTTACATTTTATTAATTTATTATGTTTAAATATTTGAATTTAATTATAATTTATCACTTTGTGGCAAATTGAAGATGTTCAACAATAACAATTTAAAAACGTAATTTTAGAAGATAATGTGGACTTCACCAAATTGGGAAGAGTTCAACGGATAAATACATACATAATTAGTATGGCGGGAAACTTCAATTTGAGAATTATGAATTTTTAGGATATTTTGTAAATAAAGAGATATAATCAAAGTAGGAAACATAATCCTTAATTGACTAGGAACTCTTTTATTTAATTTGTTTTCTTTTAAAAAGAATATTTTCCAATTAGTTAGGAATTCCTTATTAGAGATAATTGTTGGATAAAGTTAATCTGTATAAATAGAGAAGCCTTATTAGGAGATCCAGGATCGAAGTTCCAACGAAAAACTCTCATCTCAAAAATTCAAGTTCTATCTCTACCATGAGTGGTTAGGCTTTAATTCTTCAAACTCAAGGGTGATTCAAGTCCGATTGTAAGCTTGGGAGGCTCAAGTTAGATAGAAATTTCTTCTTTTTCAAGTATTCTTTGTTTCTTATTTTTATTATTTATGAACAATTCATGAGTTTGTGATCCGTAATTGTCATGAATGATTGAAATAAATAGCAAGGGGTTGGCTTATATGTGTGTATTTATGGCTTTTCCATGTTTACCTAGCTTGCATAATAGACTCTAGGGAAACAAATTCACAAAATTAATTAACTTGTAGCTATCTCAAATTAATTGATTTTAGTTTAGTCATTCTCATCATCCTTAATGCTATTCTTTGATTAATATGAAATGCTATCGTGCCCAGTTGATTAATTAATAAGATTTAATTTTGATGTTTGGTCTAAATTAATTAAATTAGGAGAATTAAAACTTACCACGGCTGTTCCGAGTAAGTAGACTAAGTTCTTGAATCAAGAAATCGATTTTTTTATATAAAGCCTATGATACAGATTACAATTGGATGAAAATCACACATTTGGATTGGAAGCTTGGTAACATTAACTTTCGTTTTCCTTTTAGTTTATCTTTTTTTAAATTTCAAAATTTAAATACAAAAACCCCCCTTTTTTTAAGTTTGAGAAATGAATTTCACTGGTTTCCCTCGTGATTCGACCTGGTCTCACTACTTCTACAAGTTAGATTTAGTAAAACCAGTAATTATTTTGGAGGGTCTCGACAACCCTTATATCAATTGGCTAAATAATGGAAAAGATACATGATATATAAGTGAGGATAATAATGCGAGACATTTTGGGTTAAAACCAACCACAAAGACACGAAGACACGAAAGACTTATGTCTGAATTGGGCAAAATATCATAAAATGATCAAGCCAAAGAAGTCGAGATGACACTACTCTAGTGCAACATGGTTGCTGTGACCTAAAGCAGTGTGGTATGATTATGCAGCGCCATGGTGCTCACCTATAGTATCAATGGTGCAAGTTCGCACAATCAACAAAGCTCTAGACGTTACAAATTTAAATGAGTCAAAATAGGCTTTTCTGTTTCTTTTATAAGCAACCAAGAAACGCCATGACTGTGAGGTATCTATTGTTAAGGTAACTTGAAAGTTTTGTAGTGCGTTAGAGAGATTCCATTATAATCTTCTATTATTATTTAATTGTGATTTGCTTCATCACATGGAAGGAGAAAATTGGTGGTCATGATTGGATAACTCTAACTAAATTCTTGGGCAGTATAAAATATCTTCCACGTAGCAAGAGAAGAGAGGTAGATATAAGTCCAAGGTATAACGATCGTCTCAACAGGATGCAAGAACTAACTGTGGTAGAACATCAACTTCGAACTACTAGGATCTAGTAGAACTTTTTGATACTTGCTCTCAAAATAAACATAAAAAACAAGAACAGAGAATTCTTTGAGAGAAGGAGAAACTCAAATGAGAATACTTGATATCTCAAATGAGGAAAACTATAACTATATATATATAGTTGCATAAATACATAACTCCTCACAAAAGAATTATGTAACTTTACACATATGTAACTTTAACGTATAATTTACTTTAACAAAATAAAGAAACAATCTCTCAAAATAAAAAATAAAATAAAGGAACAACTCCTTAGTGAAAGATATAACTTCAATTTTAATAAAATGAAGAAACAAAACAACTAAAGATATAGAAAAATAATTGATACAAAATATAAAATAACATTCACAATACGTTGTGTGAATTTATCAATCGCAAACAATAAAGCTATTCAAAATCTTAATACACAAATTTAATTTTCGAACGTCGAATACTTTTAACTGTTTCTAAATATCTTAATACACAATTGTAAAATGCTTCTTCCACTATAATAAAATGGGTCTATTGCATAAAAAAAAAAAAAAAAATGCAACGGTTGAACTACATGAAATTTGCAGCGGTTTCGCTACCGCCATAATAGAATATATCTTCGATTGCCTTTAGGATGTTATATCTAAAATTTAATATTCATAAAAGAAAACAGTGAAAGCATGATGAATTTATGAAGAATCTTGTGAATTCGACTTCCATCCGTTTACGTGATACCTATCAATATTCATGCTCTTTTATTTTTAAATGGGACGTTCGTTTGAACTTGTTGGGCTCTGATACCATACTAATATTCATGGGTTCCATCTCAAAATTAATTGACAATGAGGGGAGTAGCCTATGCCTATTATAAACTTCTATTAGGTCCCTTATCTTTTCAACGTGGGATCCTTAACATGTCTCTCAAGATTGTGACTCTTTTGATTCATCCATCTTGATCAGATCCCATTTTCGATCGGATGCTCGTTTGAGCGTTTTGAGCTATGATAATAGCTAGTCATATTCACAACTATAGAATATATATCTTCCTATTTTTTATCCCAGGTGTTAAATATTATTTTTTTTGTGGCTTAATATAGTATAGCTATAAAAATTTACCTAATCAATTGTTTTACCGTTTTTTTTTTAATGATCCAAACAAAAATTTTCTCAACATATTTTTTCTTTTCTAAACATAGAAGTTAGACTTTTCTAATGTATTTTAAATTATATTTATTTGAAGTTCAGCTTAGATTATGTTATTTTTTACCATTTTAAACCTGGTATTTTTTTAATAATATTTATTTATTTTGTGTATTTAGGTAAATTTAATATCCATCTAAAATCAGTGAAAGCTAGTGGTTGTCTGAAGAACGTCGTGAGTTCGACTTTCACACATTGACAGGACAGCAAGTCATATTCACAAAGGTATAATATATATCTTTCCCTTCCAAAGTGTGGAATATTATTTTTAGTTGCTTAATATTGCAGCTATCCACAAAGGTATAATATATATCTTTTTTTTGTTCCCTTCATATTATTTTTGTTTTATTGAAAATAGAAAAAAGTAACATATTTGGTAACGAATATGTAAGGCTTATGTTTCTAAAAATTAGGAAACAAGAAACAAATACAAAGAAACAGAAATGTCACCAAAAGGACGCTTAATTCAACACAACTTAAGTGGTTAAATTTGAACCAAGGATGATTAAGCATTAATATGATATTGTCCACTTGAGACATAAGTTCTCGTGACTTTGCTTTGGTTCCATCGAAATGGCTTCAATCTCATTACCCAACCCACAAAATAAAAATTTCAGGCATTGATTAGACACAAATTAAACATTCAAGAATGTATTGGAGAATTTTTTTAAACTTAGAAACTTATTTGACTCAAATAACTTCTTGTAATAATTTAACATTTTAATTTATTTTAATGTTAAATCTGTTTGGTGATTGCATTTGAGAGTTATTTGCTCAACCGCACTATAAATATAGACATTTAACTTGTTTGTATGAGCACCACAACTTTGAAACTGAAAACTAGATTGTGTTATAATTCTCTGGATGGAGTGTGTGAGGTCATCTGAACCCTTCATTCAACCCCTTCCCTTCAATGATATTGGCATTCATGGTGTGCATGCTAATGGTGCTGTGAATGCTCCCAATTCTAATGTCAGTTTCTCTCTGTTGGGTGCTACTGGCAAAACTTACCAACAGTTCATACAGAATTTGCGTAACGCTCTCACAATCAACTCCAAAATAGTGTACAACATACCGGTGCTAGCGGCCACGGCCTTGAGTTCGGCGCGCTTCATACTAGTCCATCTCACCAACTACAAAAATGAGACCATCACTGTTGCAATTGACGTAGTTAACGTTTATATCGTCGCATATCAAGCTGGAAACAAAGCCTACTTTCTGAAAGATGCCTCAAAAGAAGCAAGAGATGTGCTATTCAAAGGCATCAAGCAAGAAATACTTCCTTACAAAGGCAATTACGACGGCCTCGAGACCGCTGCAGGAAAGATTTCAAGAGAGAAAATTGATCTTGGATTCTCTGAACTAGGCAGTGCTATCGGCAACATGTACCACTATAACGCTGGTACTTCTGTCCCTAGAGCATTCATTGTGATGATTCAGACGATTTCAGAAGCGGCAAGATTTAAGTACATCGAGACAAAAGTTTCACAGAATGTCGAGACTAAATTTAAGCCAGACCCAGGATTCTTAAGCTTAGAGAATCGTTGGTCTGATCTATCTGAACAAGTACAAATTGCACAGAATCGTAAAGGAGAATTTGCTCGTCCTATCGAAGTTCGAAGTGTTACCAACAAACCAATTCTTGTAACGAATGTGAAGTCCAAAGTTGTGGAAGGCATGGCACTGTTGCTTTACAGCAAGCCGAGGGGCAATGGAGATCTAATGGAACTGATGGAAGAGTTCAATAAAGAATGGGAAAATGGTCGAGGTGAATTTGGAATTGACTTCTGATCTGAAGAAGAAGGTGGTGAGAGTTGAATTTCCACGCAGTGAAATAATACAAAAGGCATGTGAAGACTAATAGTACTAAGCCATATGCTTTGTCTAAATCAATAATAAATGTGGAATACTTGCTTTGGTTGCCTACTATAATATCAAAATAACTATGGATTAATATTTTAAGTCATTTTTTCTCTTTTTGTTATACACGTTTTAAATTTTGCTTTTTCACTAACATTTTTCATTTTCAAACCTAATTTCAAATACCCTTTTTAAATCCTTGTCATATGTTGAAAACTCACATGATTAAATTTTCTCAAATTTGAAAACTATTTTGGAATTTGGCCTTTTCTTGTTGTTTTTGTGTTTTTTTTTTTTTTACTTCGAAAATCGATTTTACGATAGAGACCATTTATGAACCTTCCCTCTATAGCTTGCGGTAATGATTTCTCTTGTATATTTTGTTCGATTTCGCAAGTGTACTAGTTGTCACAACTAATAAAGGGATAAGTACAGTATCATATCCACAATGATGGTTAATTTACCAATAATACCAATTAAATTTATCCTTAATCGATTTGATCAAACTACAAAGAAACATGTGATCAAACTAAAAAGAAATAATGTAAAATTGTTAAGGACAACGGTACCCCGAGTATCTCCATAATGGCATGATATTGTTTGCTTTGGTCATAACCCTCAGGACTTTGCTTTTGGTTTCACCGGAAATAATTGTGTCTTCTCTTATATACCCATAATCGTTCCCTTCCCTAGCCAATGTGGGACTTTATTTGCAATCACCTTACAAACCCAACAATCCTCCCCTCGAACAAAGTACCACTGAGCCTCTCCTCAAGTAGTCGTTCATCCGCCTACTCTCGGAGACCATAAACGAGAGCTTGTGCTCTTATCCAAGGCTCAAGGATGCAACACAACCTTGATAGAGCACACCCACGAATTATACCATGACCACACCTTTTGAGGCTCACTATTCTTTGTTCGGCACTCGAGGATTCACCGACACAGCTAGGTTTAGACCATGACTTTGAATCCACTTGTTAAGGACAACGGTACCCTGAGTATCCCACGTATCTCCACAATGGTATGATATTATTGTCCGCTTTGAGCATAACCCTCACGGCTTTTCTTTTGGTTTCACCCAAAAGGCCTCATACTAATGGAGATAATTGTCTTCTCTTATATACTCATGATCATTCCCTTCCGTAGGCCTCATACCTTACAAACCCAACAAAAACGAATATATAAAAAGTTGAGGGCTCCGCGACTTCACTAGTATGTCTTGAGTTTCTAATACTCTGGCTAACTTTGTTTTTTTCTATGTTGATACTGAATTCCCTTTTATTTATAGCTAATTTTTCTTCGAGCATTAGCAAACAGTTCAAGAAGCAAATTCCTTCGTCTCTGTGAAATTTCGAACCAATTAAAAAGCATTAAGCGTGGGAGATTTGTAAATGCTACACAAAAATTTGTAAACATCTTTGTCTTACGATATAACCTACACAGAGATGTTGAATCGAACCTTGAATGTTTACCCATAGCTATGGCTAAAAATTTAAGGTTCGATTCAACTCTCATCTCTTGTTCGCAAATTGAATAAAGCATTAAGTTTAGAAAGTTAACCCAACAATGAAAATAACTTAATATATCCATCAAGCTCAAGATTTCATAGTTTTGGCTACATCAAGAGCCCTAGAAAAGAAATATAAGACAAAATTAACTTAGAATATTAATAGCACAAACTAAAACCTAAAGAAAGTGTAAGGAACGAAGAAAAGAGGAGGATTCTCCTAAAAAATGGTGTTTTTAGCCATTTATAGGTTTGAACTGGCCTAAAATATGAATTTATAGGTCTGACAGTTGTCATGGGTATCTGGTCGTCGATCCGGTGTTTTCAACGTCACCATTTCCAATTCAGAGCGCTCAGGCGATCAACACTGATTTTTTATTTTTTTTAATTATCTTTTTTTCAAGTTTGCAATCTCCTAATCTCCTTTTTACTTGAAAATCTTCTTAAATGACTTTAGAGACCGTATTTGGTCCGGTTCATTTTTAATTATTAAATTAATTTTTAATTGTTTGATTAATAATAATATAAATTTTAATATAATTGCTTTAGTTAAAAATAACCTAAGTTTTAATGTAAAGTTTTAATTAAATTAAATATTAAAAGTATATTATGTTTTTAAAAGAATTTGGTTTTTATTATTATTATTTTAAAATTAAGATTTATTTATAAAAAAGATTATGAAAAGATTTTTTTCTCTTCTGTTTCTCCTTTGATTTTTTCCTCGTTCAAACTCGAGTAACGTGTCGTTCTCCCTTTCCTATTTTTCTCGTCAAAGCTTGTTATATGGCTCTTTCTTCCTTCTTTTCCTCCATCTTTTCCTCCATCTTTCCCTCTGCTTATTTCTTATGGTTACATTACGTGTGTATTTAAGGAAAGGTAGAGAGCAGATGGGAAACACAGAGAGAAGCATTGAGGGAGAGCCAAAAGAAAGTAGTGGAGTAGTGAGATTTAAAAAATCCAATATTTTTTTTTTTTTGGGTTTTTGGGCTGTATAGCCGATTTCGGAGGATTTGTTTTTACCCACTTTTTTAAAAACCTAAGTTTTCTAAACTTTGTTGACATCATTTTAGATATCAAATAACCATTGTTGCCCCTCCCCTAATTTTTAGATTTCCCTCCTTTTTCTTTAAAACAATGCATTTTCTTTTTCTAATAATTTGAAAACTTTATTCTCTCCTCCCAAATCCCAACACAACCCAAACAAATCTCTCTCTTCTTCTTTTTCTACTCATTTTTTATTTTATTCTCTCTCATTCACTCCCCCATTTTTGTTTTTTGTTGTTCATGAAACATTCACAAAAAAATAATTTCTGGATTTTCTTCCAACTTCTGCGAAACTGTGGATACTGTCGAGTCTTCCATTTTTAGCGAAAGAAATCTAAACCAAAACTAACAAGATCCAAGACATAGATCGAGAGTAAGATCGAGATTGAGACACTACAACAATTATTGGATTCAGCGACGAAACAAAGCAACAAAATTATTTTCGTCGCAAGAAAGGTGAAGAAAGCATTTTTCATCGCTAAAGAAGCGACGAAAACGCGTTTGCGTCACTTTCCTAGCCACGAAAGGCCATTTTCGTAGCTTTTGTTGCGACAAAACGTATTTCGTCGCTACAAAACGACGACGTTTAACCAGCATTTTACTAATTATGTCATTGGAACTTTGAATATTAAAATTAGATATGCTATTGTTAGTGTTTTTTTTTATGAAGGATTGTATTTTTAGTTTACTAATAATGTTGCTCAAATGCAATTATTTGTTGCTAAAATTAATGTATGATAAAAAAAGTTAACGACGAAACATTTTCGCCACAAAACTACATCAGCAACTATACTAGGGACAGAATTACGATTTTCGTTGCTTTAAGCAACGAAAATGTAATTTCGTTGCTGCAAGGACGAAAAGTATTTCATCGCTGCGCTGATGTAAATATTTTTGTCGCTGCGGTGACGAAATTGCATTTTCGTCCCCAAACTTTGCGACGTGCGCGTTTTCGTTGCCGATGCCCAATAGCGACATTTATTGAGTGACAAAGCACGCGACGTTTTTCTTTTTGTCGCTGAACGCTGACGGAAATACTACTTTAGCGACGAAATATTTTCGTCGCTGAATGTCATTTTTTTGTAGTGAGATCTTATCGAGGACGAGATTGAGATCTGATCGAGAGAAAGAACGAGATCGAGATCTGACCGGAAGTGAGAGATAGGGTGAGATAGATGTACGCGTAGAATGAGAGGTATGAGAAAGAGAGAGGAAACCGTATTTTTAGAGAGAGAGAAAGAACGTGGGAGGAAGAAAGAAAAAAATTAATTTTTATGATTGAAAAATATTCGAAGATGAAAAGACAAAATAATAATAATGAAAATTAATTACTCTCTCTCCTCCCTCCTCTCTCCCTTCCGCTCCCTCGTTCTCCTCTTCCTCTCTCCTCTAGCTCTCTCTCCTCTCTCCTCTCTCCTCTCTCCTCTCTCCTCTCTTCCTTCCTGTCGTTCACTCTCTTCTTCCTCTCCCCCCTCTCCTCTCTTCCCTCTCCCCCCTCTCCTCTCTTCTATTCCCTTCTATTAGTTAAAAAAAAAAGAATGAGAGAAAAAGAGAATGAAAAAAAGAGAGAAAAAAAAACTAGAAAATGAGGGAGGGAAAAAATTCATATTAGAAAACATAAATTTTGAAAAAAGTGGGTAAAATACAATACTACCTTGGTAAAAGGGCTGTACAGCCCAAAAACCAATTTTTCCTCTCTTCTTCTTCACTACTGACTACTTAAAACCCATTTTTCTCTTCTAATTTCTCTACACAAAGTTTGCCACCAATCCGACAAACTACAAACTGGCAATACCCGACAGCGATTGTGACAAATCCAGCACGAACACAACAAAGACGGGCGGTACAAAAAGTACCCACTGTTATTTTTTCTTGGTTTTTCTAAATAAAATATACATTTAAATTTTGGCATATAAATAAAGATTTTGCAATAAAGTTAAAAGATTTTGCTTCAAAAATATTTTTTCTAAATAAATTTCTTTTTTTTTTGAAAAAAAGTAAAAGATTTTTTTAAAATAATTTTGTTTAAAAGTCAAAATGGGTTTTATTTTATTTTTCTTTATTTTTTTATTGTAAAATAAATAAAAGTTTGTTTTAAATTAGAAGAACAAGAGTTTTGTTTTTTTATTTTTTCATTTCAAAGGTGCAATTTTGAGAACTTTTTAAATATACCATTTTTTAAAACATATTTTATAAATAAAGGAATAAAATCTTGTTAAATAAGTTTGTTAATAATAGTTTTGGAAAGAATCTCAGCAAATAAATTTGTTTTAAGTAAATTTGTTTTATTTTATTAAATTTTAAAATAAAAGTATTTCTATTAAAGAATATGTTTAATTTTGAAATAAATAAGAAGTTGTTTTTATTTGTTTGTTTTAATTTAAAAAGTAAATTAAAATTTTGTTTTTGTAAAAGAAAATAATATTTGCATTTTAGCTTGTTTGCATAGTGGTTAAGATACTTGAGTTTTAATATTCGTGACCCAAGTTCGAGTTCTTGTACATCTCAAAATTAAATTATTTTATTATTATTTTTATCGTTGTTTTTACTAAATAATTATTTTAAATAAAAAATTTCATAGTTCATATTTTAGAAAAAAGTATGAATTAATGAAATACGAGACATTTAAAATAAAATAAAACATTTTTTTGGACCAAATAAATAATAGGATAATTTTTGACAAAATGTGGTACCATTTTCGAACGGGTGTCATAGCGTGCCAACACTTTTCCTACGCTCAGTTGACTCTAGAACCAACAATTTATTTTCGCAGACTTTGTCTTCATTTTTAGGTGACAAATCCGGCCTCGTAGGTGATTGGTGACGACTCCAAACCCTTGTCTCGAAAGAGACCCTTCAGGGGATGACGGTCGCTCCCCATCGCGATGACGTTGCGACAACTTGGCGACTTCACTAGGGACTATTGAGAGTCAAGTCATTTATTTTTGTCATTTACTATTTGTTATTAAAATATTTTGGTCCATTTCTTTTTATTGCATATTTTGTCTTTTAATTATTTGCTTTTGTAATTTTGCATTATCATGCATTTTACACAAATTCACAAGCCTCCTACCCAAGCTTTGTTTATGCAAAGAAATGCACAACGTCAAACCTTGGTCCAGGTCGAACTCAGTCCTTGCTCCGACCTGAATCACAACGGAAAGACCTGCACAAGAGGGCAAAATCTCCGATGCTCAAGTCAGTAAATAGCTCGGACTCAATATTAATTCGAGGAGAAATTCGATACTTGATGTTGAAATGAGGCCCTCTATTTATAGGTTTAGGTTCCGACATGAGTTACCCTGGTCGGAGTTGAAGTCGAGCTTGTCGTGTTGAGCAGATCAAACCCGGACAATATATCTTCAATATTGGCGATTTGATAAAAAAATAATGACCAAGTCCTCCACCTCGGACGGTGCCGAGTAACAGAACTAAAGAGAGGGATGGAGATAGAACAATTTCTGTATTGAGATGATTTTGAAGTGAATACATTCAGCCCTCTTGTAGAGCCTAAGTATAACTAATTTAAATAATACTGAATAAGTTAGCTAATTTAGAGAAGAATCATAACTAGAGGAGGTTATAACAATCAACCTAATACACCCCCTCAAACTCAAGGTTGAACAGAAAACACGAGTTTGCTACGTAAAGATAAAAAGGCTTGTGTAGACAGCGCCTTGGTAAATAAATCAGCAATTTGGTCTTTGGATGACACAAAGCGAACAGAAATATCCTTGCACACGACCTTTTCACGAACAAAATGATAATCAATTTCTATGTGTTTGGTGCGAGCATGGAACACCGGGTTGCTGGCAAGAGATATTGCTGAAATATTATCACACCATAATATGGGAGAGGGGGGAGGGGATCTTTCAAATAGACATGCAAGTCACATAAAAGTTGTCGTAACCAGTATAAGTCAGCAGTAGTAGTGGCCAAAGACCGATACTCAGCTTCAGTAGAAGAACGAGACACAGTATATTGCTTTTTGGTCGACCAAGAAATAGGGCTCGAGCCAAGAAATGTAACAAAGCCAGTGGTAGATCGGCGATTAATAGCATCTCCAGCCCAATCGACATCACAAAAGGCAGAAAGGGTCAAGGAACTCTTATGGAACAAAATGCCAAGATCCTTGGTGCCATTTAGATATCGCTAAATACGTTTAACTGCAGAATAATGAAAAACTGTGGGATTTTGCATGAACTGACTAACCCGATTGACAGAGAAAGTAATGTCAAGACGAGTAAACGTCAAGTATTGTAATGAAACCACCAATTGACGATAGAGAGATGCATCAGTAAACATGGGAGTAGAAGCATGGAGATCAATAGAAGTGGACATAGGAGTGGAGCATGATTTGGCCGAGCACATTCCAGAACGGACTAATAAATCTTGTAAGTACTCTGCTTGGTTCACAAAAATAACAGTAGGCAAGGACTTAATTTCTAAACCCAAAAAGTACCTCAGAGCACCAAGATCAGATATTTGGAATTCAGTAGCTAGAGCTTTCTTGAGAACAGTAATGTAGGAAGAATCGGGACCAGTGATTATAATATCATCCACGTATAAGAGGAGAAAAGTCAGAGATCCATCAACAGACCGTACAAATAAAGAAGTATCAGTAAGAGAAGCCTCAAACCCAAGTGTGAACAGATAATTGGTGAAGCGGTCAAACCAAGCCCGAGGAGCCTGTTTTAGGCCATACAAACTTTTGTGTAAGCAGCAAACATAATCAGGGCAAGACGTATCAATAAAACAAACGGACTGATACATAAAGACATCTTTCTGAAGATTACCATGCAAAAAGACATTCTTAACGTCAAGCTGAGTAAGTGACCAATTAAAATGAGCAGCAAGAGACAGTACAACTCGAATAGTAGGCTTTTTAACAACAGGGCTGAAGGTCTCTTCAAAATCAAAGCCCTCCATTTTATGATAACCCTTAGCCATCAATCGAGCCTTATAACGGGCGGTAGAGCCATCAGAATTGAACTTAGTGTGAAACACCCATTTACAACCAACAACATTCATATCGGGTGTTCGAGGGACAAGTGACCATGTACCTTGCTCCTGGAGAGCTAAAAATTTATCTGACATGGCAGCTCTCCATTCAGAAAACTGGGCAGCCTCAGTGGATGGAGAAGGTTTTGTATGGATAGTTATGGACTCACTCAGAACTAAATAGGCCCTGGGCTTAAAAATACCCGACTTTGCCCATGTTTGCATCAGATGAGCATTAATGGGGCGAACATCAGTGACTGAACTGCAAGAAGTGGATGGGCAAGTAGGATCGCTTGGTGAAACAATAGGAAAAGAGGATAATGTAGGGTCCTTATGAGGAGAGAAGGCCTCAAGGAGAACGGGAGCAGGCGTAACAATAATGGAGGCAGTAGTCATAGCAGTCGGCAAGGGAGCAGAAGAAAAGGACATGTTATGTGTAGGTGGGACAGAGACAGCATAAAAATTTGGAGCAATGGAGGAAGAAGAAACAACGACCGGGTGGTCAGAAGGACTGGGCGGCTGGTAATGACGTAATGGTTGGGCGTGGTTCAAGGTTAACAGGTGCTTGAAAAGAACTGTAGGATCTATGGAGGAGGAGACATGGGAAGTATGAGTATTAGGTTGGGCAAAAGGGAAGACAGTTTCATGGAATACAACATGACGATAAACTATAGACTTACGCGTAGTGGGATTAAAACAAATATAACCTTTGAAGTCAAGTGTATAGCCAAGAAAAACATGTTGAGATGTTTTGGGCTCAAGCTTACGTTTAGTGAATGGTTCTAATAAGAGGTAACAAGCACATCCAAAAACTTTTAAATCCAAGTAAATCTGGAGTCTTACCAAAAAGTTTTTCAAAAGGCGAAAGCATAACAAGAGAAGGAGTGGGCATTCTATTTATAAGAAAGACGGTGGTAGAAAATGCATAAGGCCAAAATTCAGCAGGCGTTGAATAATGAAACATCAATGATAGAGCAGTTTCAAAAATGTGCATGTGTTTACATTCAGCAACACCATTTTGCTCGGGAGTATAAGGACAAGATTTTTGATGTAAAATACCTTTAAATTCAAATAAGGAAGAAACAGACGAATTAACAAACTCACCACCACCATTAGAATGAAAAGTTTTAAGCTTAGATGAGAGAAGATTTTCAGCAAATGGCACAAATTTATGAAGAATAGCACTCACATCAGATTTATTTGCAATTGGAAAAAGCCAGGTAAACTTGCTAAAATTGTCCACAAGACTAACATAATAGCGACATCCAGTAAGAGAAATAACAGGAGAAGKTCCCCAAACATCACTGTGAACAAATTCAAGAGGAGCAAAAGAAGAGGAGTAAGACATAGGAAATGATAGTTTAGACATTTTTGCCTTAAGACAACTAGTGCATTGACAAGTATTAAAGGAATGAGATATTGACAAACCAAATGTAGACAAAGCATGACGTAATATTTTTGGTGAATGATGGCCAAGCCGATGATGCCAGAGATAAGACCCTGCTTTTGCAAGAAGAGCACAGTTTTTAGGATGTAACTCATTGCGGGCTGACGACAAAGTAGACGAACTAGGGATGGGGTAGAGTCCATTAACACTCTTTCCTTTATAGAGAGTAGTGTCTGTAACCTTATCCTGAATGAGGAACCAGTCAGAGTCATATACAAAAATGCAATGATTATCAAGACAAAATTTATGAACTGAAAGAAGATTTGTGGCTAAATCAGGAGCATGGAGCACATTGGAAATGGTAAATGCGTGCGAGGATGCTGAAAGTATACCACTGCCTGTGTGCGAAATGTTTAAAGATTGTCCATTGCCGACTGTGACGAATTCCTCTCCATTATAAGAATCAACTAGATTCAAATTGTCTAAATCATTGGTCACATGTGCGTTGCAGCCACTATCTGACAACCAAAAATTATTGTGAGTATTAGAGGATGAAGAAGGGGTCATTGCATTTACCGCCATGGCCGCAAGTTGAGCGGGAGGGTGACGACCCTAAAATAAAAAGTTCATTCGATTGTGGCAATCGAGTACCCCATGCCCTGGTTTTAGACAAATTTGACATTACATGCGACCACCTTCAGAGATATTTGAGGAATTATTGCTGCGACCAAAATTAGAAAGCTGGCTAGTTGAATAAGATCCACACTCATTTGGAGGAGGAGGTCCATGAGGACCACTGTTGAAGTGAGGAAGAGCATTTAGTAGAAGGCCACCACCACTACTTTTGCTAAAATTTCCGCCACCATTATTGCCACGATTGCCTCTGCCAAAATTGCCACGATTGCCACTGCTTTATTATTATTGAAATTTCCAGAATTAGGAAATTGAGCGCCCTTGATAGATACCATTGCAGTTGGTACAGGATCAGTGGAAGAAGAATGTGCCGCCAATGTTTTCTCCTCTGCCTCAAGCAAAACAGAAAGTTCATTTACAGAAATAGTGTCATTCCGTGTTCTAATAGAAGTGCGGAAGGCATTAAAGTTTGAAGTTAGACCATTAAGAATATGAACAAGAATTTCCTCATCATCTATTTGAACATATGCAATAGCAAGACAATCAACAATATCTTTAATTCGACGAATCTATTGTTCGACAGACTCAGTAAAGGACTTTTGTACCGTATATAGGGCGGAGTGTAATTCGAGGATATTGGAACGAGATTTAGAAGAATACTTCTTTTCAAGGGACGACCATAATTCTTTCGCTGATTTGGAACCGACAATATGTGCTAAGGCAGAGGGTGAAAGTGTAGCATTAATTAGTGTGATAAGACCCTGATCACGAGAACTCCATTGAAGGAATGCAGTATTGACTTTGGTGGTTATCGTACTAGTGGCAGATCGAACAAACTGCTCAGGAGAAGGAGAAGAACCATCAACATGGCCAGAAAAGGAATGTGCTCGTAGAATTGAGGACACCTGAAAACGCCATAGCACATAATTTCTAGAATCAAGTCGAACAGATATAAGATTGCAAATGTTTGAAAGAAGAAACAATGGAGAAGAAATGATAGATGTGAAGGAAGAAGAAGCAGAGGAAGTATCGGCCCTGGTGGATTTGTGGAGCGAAAAAAAAATGAAAAGAACCCTAGTGACGTGTGTCAATGGACTCTAATACCATAACACAGCTAGAGAGAGGGATGAAGATAGAACAATTTATATATTGAGATGATTTTGAAATGAATACAACGAGCATAGAGCCTAAGTATAACTAATTTACAAATAATACTGAATAAGTTAACTAATTTAGAGGAGAATCATAACTAGAGAGGTTATAACAATCAACCTAATACTGAGGTGGTGCTACTTGGATACTCATATGGGGATATTCCCTTTGGCGAATCACTGTGGTCGACGTGGCACTCTGGTTTCCTTCCCCAAACAGGCTTTGTCGTTATGATTAGATCGGAGATCGAGTAGTGTGACCTTCGTGGAATTTCGGTTCCCGTGCAGGCACATGAAATTCTCCATTACAAGCAGAGGCAAACATAGTAGACCGATTGACTATAAAAATCTCATAATAACCCTAAAACGACATAAAATGAACACAGAAAAAACCACAAAATTCAAATTAAATAACAACGATATGATCTTGAAAAATGAAAAAAAGAAAACCGTGTGATTGTCGAAGTTCCTCGTACCATATTGACAAATACGAGATAGGATAGGACTACTGCTACATATGGGGTCTTTGTAGAACAAAGGACACGGGTTGGAATATTGAGAATTTCAAAAGTGGAAGTTAAAAAATATGACATTTGGTGAAATATTCAAAACCTTTTGTACTAGTTAAAAATTGTCGTCAATGATATAAAAATTAACAAATGTCTAGTCGGTTATTGACCTTCCTAATCCATAAAACACAACCAATAATTTATCTCAACGAATCCAACCAAACTCCAACATTTCGTGTTCGGCTGCTTGAGTTCTTTTTGTCATCAAATTTTTAGATAAAACATATTTAATATTCAAATGAAAATGATCATATACGCCAACTAATTTTGCGGGGAATTTTGTCTTGAAATTCCACAACTAATTTTAGAGATGCATAACGTGATAGTTCATCTCCATTTTTCTTCCCACCAAAAAACGACCCAAAAAATAGTTGCGATGTAATTGTAGAAGATGATCTCCGTACAAAGTTGAAAAATGCGAAATAAAACTGCTGCTTGGCAGGTGATTTGTGGGAACTAATAATCATAAATCTCTACTCATGTTATTTATATAAATGCTTCCTTTTCTTACTAAATTGACCAATTCCACACCTGTTACCAACTAGTATTAAGAAAAGAATAATGTATTTCAACGTGTGAATTGAATTTTTCCGTTCTTTTTTTTTCCTGCCTAATGTAAATGTTTAGGGTATCACTGTTTATCTTATCAAAACTGGTTATATCAATACTTTCAAAACCTATTTATTAATACTTCCAAAGCTGGAGTACTCTAAAAGTTGGTAAAATATCATACTTTCATAATATTTTGAAAATTGTAATATTTAGCGTCGTGTTTGTAATTTTTAATTTTTGATTTTTAGTTTTCTAAAAATATGTTATTTGATAATCATTCAATTTTTTGTTTTTTTTTTGATAAACTATTTTGAAATTCTATGGAAATTTTAAAAAATGATAGGTTCAGTTTATTTTTTCTTATAATATAACTTTTTTTTTTCTCATATTTACCTCTAAGAAATTATATCTTCTAGTCTAATTTCTCTTTGTTTCTATTTTTTTTTTCTTTAACATGTCTTTTCCTCTCGGATTACTTTTTTTCTCTCATATTTTTCTCTTTTTGCCTTTTAACTTTTATTTCACTAACTTTTTTTTACTAAATCTTTTTATTTATGTCTCTAAAATTTATCTTCCAACAGTTTATTTACATATCTCTAAACTTGTATTTTCATGTCTCTACATTAGGGATGACAAAAATTTCCGTAAACTTCTGGCTCCAATTATACGTACCAGGTCGTTTTACATAAACCAAAAATATTAACAAAACATGATTTTATTATTATTATTATTATTATTTATTCAAGAGTCGACGACCCTTTGGCCTTTATGTCCCTATACTTAGGGGTATGCGTACTGTCCCCACATCGGTACATGGACAAGCTATCCCCTGAGACAACACAATATGATTTGTTCCTAATTTAACCAATTAGTCATTAGGCCAAAACATAAAATCCACGAGCACACAAGAACAAGTACTATAAAACATTAAAACACTCCACCTATTATTACTCAAGAGAAATAGGAAAAAACAAGCACATAAACAGAGCATTTGGGTGTTCAAAGTGATGACTTGGGGCTTTAAGAAATATCCTTGAAGTCTTGGGTGTAAGCACAACGAATGCAACTCGATCAAGCAATGACCTCTTTGCATTCATACGGGTATAGAGACACTGTGCATACCTCAGGTATAATTAAACCCTAACACACACAACATAATATAATATTCTTCATGTGGAGTTGCAGCATGCAAAGTTACACTATGTAGAATAATTTTGAAGTCTGGAAGGAAGTGCAGACGTAGCTTGAACATCCTTGAAGTTGAACAGCAACTTGAGATTGTGTCTTACAATTCTGTTCTCAACGTTCCATACATTAATTGGATCGTCATATTGATCGAGAAGCGTAATGTTAGTTCTGAAATTTCAAGTTATAGTGTCTGCTCCCTAAATTGCTTTGCAGAGTTATTTTCCAAATTTATAACTTGTTTACTTGGGTTGGTCTCTCTTCGTACTGCGTAATGAATTATATTCAATCTTGTGTTGGGTTTTTTTCACATTGTGTGAAAAGCCCAACTTTAAGGTCCACATGGGCCATTAATGTTTTAAGGTTATATATATATATATATAAAAAGGTGCAACCGGTAAAAACACAATTGAGGAGAGAGAGGGAAAGTCTATGCACGCAGATCGAGGAGAGAAAACATAAAAGAAATTCAATTCCGTACAGTGACGTTTTCTGCACGATCGGAGGTCAATCCAGGTGAAATTTTGACAGCATGTTCGTAACACGAGGGTCTTCAATCTGGACGATGGAGATTTCTTTTGGAGCTGCCTACAGTCAGATACAGTGGGTACTTGGTGCCACTTCCTAGGTGAGATCTTTCTAATTTTCTTCCCCGGTTTATTCCCTTTGTTTGCAGAAATTTATTGTCTCGAGATATTATTATTGTATGCCTTTAGTTTTTGCTAGGGAGAACTTGGTGTACCCATTATTGATTATAGTGGAGATTTTGACTTCGGTCCGTGGTTTTTTACTCCTCACATTGAGGAGGTTTTTCCACGTTAAAATTGCGTGTGTCCTGCGCTTGTTTGGATTATTATTTTCACTTGCTATTTCCTACTAGGTTCACACAAGAGGGGGTAATTGGTTCATAAATTTAAGTGTTTATCCCAACAAAGTGGTATCAGAGAGAGGTTAAAAATTAATTAGGCCTTGTGTTGAACAATGGAAACTAGTACAAGTAGAATGGTGACGTTGAATGGCTCAAATTATCAAGTTTGGAAAAGGAAGATGGAAGATGTTTTATATGTGAAGGATTTTTATCTTCCTGTTTTTTCACTTGAGAAGCCTGAAGATAAAACAGATTTAGAATGGAAAATATGTCATAGAAAAGTTTGTGGCTTTATTAGACATTGGGTAGAAGAAAATATTCTAAATCATATTGGAGAAGAAACACATGCACCGACTATGTGGAACAAGCTTGAGTCGTTATATGCCCCGAAAACTGGCAATAATAAATTGATTATGATAAGGCAAATAATGACTTTGAAGTATCAAGATGGAACACCTATGTCAGATCACTTGAATACATTCCAAGGTATCATTAATCAGCCTGCTGGAATGAAAATCAAGTTTGAAGATGAGATACAAGGCTTATGGCTTCTTGGTACATTGTCGGACTCGTGGGAGACTTTCAGAACTTCGTTATCGAACTCAGCCCCAAATGGAGTAATAA